AAAGGTGATCCAACTGAATGCGGAAATTATTGAACAATATCATTAATATCACATGCAAGCAAAATTTCGCTAAAGATCATTCAGGGATATATATCATTGCTGATATCAGATGGATTCTGGCTGAAAGTAGAGAATACAAGAAAGATGTTTACCTGTGTTTTACTATGTACAGGCATTTGACTGTGTGGACTGTAACAAATTAGAGGTAATATTGTGAAGAATGGGAATTCCAAAGCACTTAATTGTACTCATGAGGAACCTGTAGATAGATCAAGAGGCAGTCATTCCAAAAGAATAAGGGGATACTGCATGGTTTAAAGTCAGGAAAGGTGTGCATCAGGGTTGTATCCTTTCACCATACCTATCCAGTCTGTATGTTGAGCAAATAATCCAACAAGCTGGACTATGTGATGAAAAATGGGGCATCAGGATTGGAGGAAGACTCATTAACAACCTGCAATATGCAGTTGACACAACCTTGCTTGCTGAAAGTGAAGAGGACTTGAAGCACTTACTGATGAAGATCAAAGACCACAGCCTCCAGCGTGGATTACACCTCAACATAAAGAAAACAAAAATCCTCACAAATGGACCAATAAGCAACATCATGATAAACAGAGAAAAGACTGATGTTGTCAAGGGTTTCATTTTACTTGGATCCACAATCAACATCCATGGAAGCAGCAGTCAAGAAATCAAGACACATTAAATTGGGCAGATCTGCTGCAAAAGATCTCTTTAAAGTGTTGAAAAGCAAAGATGTCACCTTGAGGACTCAAATGTGCCTGACCCAAGCCATGATGTTTTCGATCGCCTCATATTCACGTGAAAGCTGGATGATGAATAAGGAAGACCGAAGAATCGACACCTTTGAATTGTGGTGTTGGAGAAGGATACTGAATATACCATGGACTCCCAAAAGAAAAAACAAATCTGTCTTGGAAGAAGTACAACCAGAGTGCTTCCTGGAAGCAAAGATGATGAGACTATGTCTCACATACTTTGAACATGCTGTCAGGAGGGATCAGTCCCTGGAGAAGCACATCATGCTTGGTAAAGTAGAGGGTCAGCGAAAAAGAAGAAGACCCTGAACGAGATAAACTGACACAGTGGCTACAACAACAGGCTTAAGCATAACAATGATTGTGAGGATGGCACATGACCAGGCAGTGTTTCGTTCTGTGGTACAAAGGGTCGCTATGAGTTGGAACCAACTGGACAGCCCCTAACAACAACAATAGGAAAAGAACACTAATCTTTACTATGCAGAGGGCACTGAATTGGTTGGCTATGTATGTACATATACACACACACTATATTGTATGTATTAGATCTCCAGTTTGCCAATCACTGTGAGGTGTACATTATCACCACCTTCCTTCCAAAGATGTAAAAATAAAAGGCTCAGGAAGGTAAGTGACTTATTTAGATCACTAAACAAAAGGAAGCACGTAGATTCTACTCTAGGTTTGCCATGCTCCCCCATCCTTTCTACTGCATCACAATATCACTACAAGGGTCTCCTTAGTATGAGAAATACACTTTCTATAGATCAAAGGCAGTATAGTACAAGGGTTAAGATGATAGAAACACATAAATTTAGGTTAGATTACTAGCCTTACTAATTACGTGGCCCTGGGAAGTTATTTAACTTAAGTCTCAGTCACTTCTTATGCAAAACAGGGATATTAGTAGACAGCTGATTTCTTTTTTGGAGAGGGGCTGCCCAGCACCTACTTCCCTTTCCTAATCACACCCTGTTATGGACTGAATTGTATCCCCCAAAAATATGTGTTGTAAATTCTAACCTCTATGCCTGTAGTTATAATCCCATCTGGGAATGGGATGTCTCTGTTACGTTAAAGAGACAGGATTAGTGTACGGTGTATCTTGAGTCAGTCTCTTTCGAGATATGTAAGAGATTAAGCAAGTACAGATGGGGGAAAACAGATGCCAAGCCACATGAAGACTGTCTAGAAGCAGAAGCTCAAAACAGACAATGACCATGCTCTAAGGCTGACAGAGAGAGAAAGCCTTCCCCTAGAGGCAGCACCCTGAACTTGGACTTCTATTCTCCTGTGAGCCCTGGTGGCGCAGTGGTTAAGAGCTACAGCTGCTAACCAAAACGTCAGCAATTTGAATGCACCAGCTGCTCCTTGGAAACCCTATGGGGCAGTTTTACTCTGTCCTATCGGGTCGGTATAAGTTGGGATCGACTCGATGGCAAAAAATAGAAACAAAACAGTCTCCTGTCAGAAAATGAATTGGTTTGTTAAAGCCATCTGCTTGTGGTATTTCTGTTACAGCAGCACTAGATAACTAAGACATACTCCAACTTTTTTTTTTCCCCTAAACTTTATTTTTTCATTGAGAATATACACAGCAACCCACTGCCGTTCAGTCGATTCTGACTCATAGAGACCCGACAGGACAAGAGTAGAACCGCCCCATAGGATTCCCAAGGCTGCAATCTTTATGAAAGCACACTGCCACTTCTTTCTCCTGTGGAGCAGATGGCAGGTTCAAACTGCTGACCTTTCACTTAGCAGCCAACCACTTTCACCACTGCGCCACCAGGGCTCCTATACACAGCAAAACACACCAATTCAACAGTTTCTACATGTACAATTTAGTGACCCTGACTACATTCTACAACTTGTACAAACATTCTCACCTTCCTTTTCTGAGTTGTTCCTTCCTCATTAACATAAACTCATTGCCCCCTAAGGTTCCTATCTAATCTTTCGAGTTGCTGTTGTCAATCTGATCCCCTATAGATAGTTCTTAAAAGAGCATAAGTGCTCAAGGCAGACCTTTTTTTTTTTAACTAGTTAAGCTAAACCACTGCTTGGTTTTAATATGACTTCAGGGGATATTTTGGTTTAAGGTTTACAGATTAACTCAGGGGTAAAAGTTTCAAGGGTTCGCCCACCCTCCATGGCTCTAGAAAGTCTAAAGTCCATGAGAATTTGAAATTCTGTTCTGCACTTCCTCCCTTTTGATCAGGATTCTTCTATGGAATCTTTGATCAAAATGTTCAGTAATGGTAGCCAAGCCAGGCACCATTCAGTTCTTCTGGTCTCATGGCAAAGGAGGCAGTTGTTCGTGGAGGCGATCAGCCACACATTTCATATCCTCTTCCTATTCCTGTCTCTCCTTCTTCCTGTGTTGCTCTAGATGAATAGAGACCAATTGTTGAGCCTTGGATGGCCGCTTGCAAGCTTCTCAGACCCCAGACACTATCCAACAAACTAGGAGGTAGAACAAAAGCACCGAACACGTTATTAGACCAATTAACTGAGATGTCCCATGAAACCACTACCCTAAACCTCCAAACCAGGAACCAGTTTTTTTTTTTGGCATTGTTGTAAATATTATCTCTCACACAACTTTTTTGCCAATTCAACTTTTTATAGATGTACAACTTACTGACAGCCAATACAACAACTGATTGTGCAACTCTACCCTTAATCAATGCAACTTTTCCATCACTGTTAACCCTCCTTTTTTCTTCCCTTCTGTTCCTGGTAACCGCTAACAAACTTTGGTCTCTGTCCATTTGCCTTTTTTTGTATTTTTATATAGTGTGGTTATACAATATTTGCTCTTTTGTGACTGACTTATTTCACTTAGCTTAATGTCAAGCTCCATCCATGCTGTAGCATGTATCAAGACTTCATTTCTCTTATTGGCTGAGTAGTACTCCATTGTATGTATGCATCATATTTTGTTTATCTATTCATCTGCTGACAGGCATTTAGGCTGTTTCCACCTTTTGGCTATTGTGAATAGTGCTGCAACGAACACTGGTGTTCCAGTTTCTTTTTGAGTCTCTGCTTTCAAGTCTTTTGGGTCTATAGCTAGGAGTGGAATTGGTGGTTTATATGACAGTTCTACTTTCAGTTTTTTAAGGAACTGCTACACTGTTTTCCAGAATGGCTATACCACTGTGCATTCCCACCAGCAATGGATAAGGGTTCCAACCCTACTATTAATAAATTCCCTTTTATTTATATTACCCAGTCACTTTGTTGCTTGCAGTCAGTAAACTCTAAATGAAACACAACACTCATCAAGTTATTGACAGGCTAAGTAAGACTGGAATTCAATAGACGTAAGCTGACACTATCTGGTCATATCAACCATTAGAAGGAAATTATCAATACAGACTACAAACCATCATGTAAGTATGGTTATGTTGTAAATACGGTATGAATGACTGTAGGAGAGATTAGTCCACTGACCACCTCCCAGGCCACCTCCTGGCATAACCGTTTTACAGTTATGATAAAGTCCCACATCCTTAATAGAAAGCTAGCATAACATACCTGATGATGAGGGTCTTCACTACCCTTTCTGTTCCAGGAAATGCCTCAGGAGCTTTCAAGCACCTGTAAATGGAGACATAAGAGATCATTCTTTTGAAGATGAAGTTTTAAAGACATACAAAATAAAAGATAAAGAGATCCTGCATGCAGTTTACACATTACAGGAGAGAAAACATGCAACTTTAAAGAAATTTTAAGTAACATTTCATTGTGAATATCAATATGGGGACCTATAGGGGCTCATCCTTGTACATTTTAAAATAGCTGAGCAGAAAGCTTTACTTTGGGGAGCAGCAGGAGGTCTAATCTACAGTCATTGAAAGTTTACAATGTGTCATTTAAGATGTCAGAATCTGTGCCCAGGTTACATTACAGTTCACTTGTGATGGGCAGGATTATTAAGTTATGGCTAATTTATGCGGCAGCATATGGTTCTTCTTTTTACAGCTATTTTTATTAAACAAGTTTTGCAAAGTTTTAACATTAAAATTAACAGCTAAAGAATTGTTTATGCAAGTTGCTGTCACAGTTTATGTAAAAGAGAAATATGTGCTATTAAAATCAGACATTTAGGTTACCTTTGGTTTTTTGCGATGCATGTTAGCTTTACACATCCTGATTCTCTTGCGATAATTTTCCTTTAAAAAGGGGGGTATAGAGTGATCTCTTTTCATCAAAACAAGACATAATGCCCTGAAAGCTGACTTCAAACCATGGTTGAAAATTCAGTTATTTACACTTTATCACAATCTACAAATACAATTTTTTGTTGGTGTGTTTTAAAAAGACAAAAAAAAAAAAAAAAATGCCCATCATGCACTGCTGCAGGCAGCTTGGCATTTCATACAAGAGGATTTTTCACCCCCGAGCAGTTTAGGTGGCTCCCTTTGGGAAGGCATGAAAACCCTGAGAATTAACATAAAGTGGAAATGGAGCCAACCAATTCCATCATTCCCTCCCTTGGCCCCTTGGGAGGGAGTTCAGAACCAGCCTATTATGCCAGATGCTGCCCCAGCAGCATTTCTGGGATTGAAGGGAAGGGAAACCCTTAAGGGCACCCCAGATGCCATCCCTTTCCAAGCTCTCAAGAGATTATTTGGCATCACTCTTTTGAGCCACCTAGGGGCTCTATGGAAGGTGCAAAATGGGGTGGCAGGCATTATAAATACTGAGACCTGTGTGTGGAAACCAATCCAGTTTCGGCTCAGTTGGGTTTTTCTCTCCAGGAATTAAGGCTTGTGATAGGATTGGATAAAATGTTTTCAACAACTTCCAGGGGGTGAAAAAGCTTTGGTTATTTTTAAACTAAAACTTAACAACTCCATAAACTTTTTTTTGGTAAACTTAAAATAAAACCCACCCCCCCCACTTTTAAGATGTCTCCAACTTTTAACAAGACCATTAACTTTAGAGTTAATTTAAGTTTATTTGAAAGAGAAAACTATTTTATTGTCCACCCAAAAAAAAAAAAAAAAAAAATGACAATTCATCACATTTACTTTGATTAAAAAAGGACTAAACTTTATTGACAAACTGCTGCAGACATTTTGACATAAGTTTAAGCTACCTATTTAGGCAGATTTACACATGTAGCATTTAATCTTCCGAGAACAAAATGGGAGGACAGTACAAATCCAATTAGGACTTTAACTAATGTACAAAGTGGATTTTGATTCCTTTTTCATTCAGCTGCAGTGTCCCTTTTTATATCATGCTAGTGTTGAGACATACTTGACTAACTACCTTGGGAACAGTTCAATATTGACAAACGTCAACTTATGAAATCAGCTTTTGGCCCCCAGTGTTCAAGTGAGTTTTTTATGGAGTGTAGAATCTAAAACGGACACAATACTTTGTCTTTATAAATACTGAAATTTTAATTATTAGTACTATTACTGAAAGACTGTTCTTGGTTAAAAAGCTCTACAACAAAATTCAATTCAGGTGGCCCGCCCCTCTCCCCCAATTAACCTCTTCAAAACCTACTCCCCGCCTAAGTATCTCTCAACACTGTATGTCTGGGGCTAGATTTCAAAACCCACATAATGAAAAAGTCAGTTTTACAAACCTAATTTTGTTGTTGTTTTTAAATCAATTAATGTTAAAAATTGAATCAACTATTTAATTCATGAGGATCTTTCATATTAAAATTTAACCTTAAGCATTCAACCGCCATGTGCTTTTAAAGGAAACATTTTTAGAGACATCTGAGCTCACTTTTACATGATGGCACCTACTGCCGTTAACGTTTGTGATTTTAATCTTAAACAGCCCTGAATTTTGAAATGTAGCCTAGTTTGGGATTCTGCAACTACAACTTTACGGGATGCCTCAAATCAAAACTAAGAGAAAGTTAACAAGCCTTAACTTCAGAACCTTTAAGCAAGCAATGTCACTTTTGAAACTAACAGGTTTGTGGTTTTTTTTTAACTCAACTTTTTTTTTTTAATTATAAAAGGTACATTTCTGTTTATATTTAAACAACAAAGAAAAAAAGCATCTACACACTTAAAAAATTAATTCAATATTCCTAAATCTATTTTAACTCATTTTAAAATACTACATACAGAAGCCAGAATGCAGAGTAAGAATGGAGTAAGGGGGGAGAAGAAGGGGACCACGAAGAAAAACACTTAGACAATTACTTGTCTGTTGTGGGTAAAGCAACAGGAATCCTGGGAGATACAAGAAATCAGTAACAACTTTGCTCATAACTGATATTTTCCCCTCATGTTTGTTTCTAATAACGTCCATATGGGTGCTCTCTGTATGCTCCCTTCACTGGCCTAGCTGGAGGGGCCTTCAGTGACGGCCTGGTCCCATTCCAGTCATCTTGGCCTGTGGGGAAAGCAAGAACAGTTTATAAACCATGTGCCAACAGCATTTGGGATCAGCACATGTAGGTCACCTGGTATTGTTGTTAGGTGCCACTGAACTGATTTTTTACTCATAGTGACCCCATCTGACAGAACTGCCCCATAGGGTTTAAGGCTGTAATCTTTATAGGAGCAGACTGCCAAGTCCTTCTCCTGTGGAGATGCTGGGTAGGTTCAAACTGCCAACCTTAGGTTAGCAAGTGAGCACTTAACTATTGCGTGACCAGGGCTCCTTAGGTCACATGGTGAAGATCACCAATAACACTGCTTTGTCTCCAACATCTAGCCACCTCCTCAGTGGCCCTTCTTTTCCGTTCTGCATGCCCTCAGGAGCAGCCTGGGCAATTTCCCAACTGCAGGACAGTTTTCAGTGGACTGACAGAAGGGACCCGCTCAAAAAAGGCCTGTGTTTAATCTGGAGTAATCTTCAGCAACAGGCTCTCAACAGGGAATTTGATCTATACTCAGTCCCCAAACCTGGATAAACCCAACACCAGGCTTGAGAGTATGAGGGAGTCATTAATCTCAGTGGGTCTGCAATGGCCTTTCCTGTTCCGAAAGCAATTTGGCAGGCAGTCTCAGGTAAGGTGACAACTTCTGTAAGTCTTTCAGATTGGAAGCAGACAGTCCCTTTTCCATGCAACGGCAAAGTCTGGCTGCCCTGTGGAGAACCTCTGTTGGTTCTCTGGGAGAAGCAAGCAAGGACCACATTTCATGAGGTCCGCCATCTACAGAGCTGGTAGTCACTGTTCTGGTGGGGGAAGTGCAAGCAAATGTATTTACAGCAGTGATTGGGAGAATCTGTTAGCCCCCTTCTTATGCCAACAGTCAACCCAGAGAAGCCAGACAACATGGTTGACATTCTGAAATGGTTTTCCTTTGTGACAAGATAAAGTCTAAGGGAGATAACTTATTTCTAGAATTGACCTCTTATGAAAATGAGCCGTGTTTATAAGTTTACTTTTCCCACTCACTATCATCCCTTACCATATGCCAGTTTATATGTAAAGCTTATTTCTCCAGCTGCCAGCATTCACAAACACCTGCCTCCATCACTATAGGTCTAAAAATGCCTATATGGATCTAAAGTTGCATAGAACCCTGTCTGAGCCTGTTATACCGCTAAAACAATACATACACACGTATATATATGTATATGTGTGTATACAGATCCACCCATCACTTTCCAAGTGGCTTCTGAGTACCAGTAAGACAGTTATTTTTCTGTTATAACAAAGTCAGAGATGGGGGGTGGGGTGGGGGGAGAACTTAGCAGATAAACAGACTAACAGTGGCAACATCATACAAGGAGCAGCCTCCCTCTTTCAGTTCAGTCTTTTCTCCAACAAAACGGAAATGCAATTTAGTGAAACACACACAGAAGCCCCATTGTGCTGCCTCTCCAATGGAGAGAAATACTTGGATGCTATCATACCACCCTTCTGAATAGTGGCATAGAAGCAGAATACTGCAGTGTTACTGTGGCAACTGTCCAGTACCATTTGGCTAAAACTGGTAAAAATTGTTTCCCTGGGCAAGTAAGCTGATTGGCTACTTCATTCAGTGCTGAGGAGCTGAACTCAGTTAGTCTGTCTGTGGGCAGTCCTAAGAGGCCCCCTTTCAACCATGGGGTAAGGCGAAACTGTCAATCTCCTTTCAGTGCTTTAAGAGGAACAGCTGTCAATTGCTGAGCCCCGTGCCAAGGACTCTCTGAACTTCCTCAGGTATGCTGAAAATACCTCATGTTTATAAGGCTGTTCTCTCTGTATCCACTGCCACATGGCACTCCCTCTGGGACCCATTAACACAGGGCCATAATTAGCTCTTGAGGCCACTCTTGAGCAATGTGTTTTCAACCAAATCTCAGGGAAGACAGTTTGGTCCTGCTGCCATTCTAGCCCCTACAGCTCTCTTGGGATCAAAGACTGAGATGAGATGTCTCCAAACCACTAAGCAGCTTGGTGCCAGTACTGCCCTGAATTGGCTCCAGGCTTCCTGGTTATAAGGCCCTAAAGACTTGATCTGATTCTAACAGGCACTATTATTGCCCTCTAATCTGCTCTGGCTAGCTGCTTACTACCTAGGTCTTTTACAGCTGAAATTTCCTCTATAGTGAAATTCTTTCCGATAAGATTTAAAAAAAATTTTTTTCTTTTTTTTAAAAAACTGAGGTAGGGCAAAAGAACAGAGTGGAATATGATTAAGTTCTTGTTATCTCTCAACGTGGCCCAGGTATCGGCAGCAAAGGCCCAGCAACATAAACCAGGTCTAGTTGTCTCCCTGTCCAAAGTAGGAAAAAAAAAAAAAAAAAAAAATCAACATCAGCTTAAAAGTCTTTGTTGTTCAACCAGACTAAGCTGGATCTGAGCCCTAGTTTAAGATACTTACCTAGCCTTCCAAGAGTAACAGTGCCCTAGCCACTTTAATAGTCTTTCTATCATACCGCAAAATTTAAATAGGAGAGGAACTCCTATTTTCTCAACTACTAACATCTGCAATCAATACCACCTTGGGCTGTTAAAGGTTTCTTCTTAGGTATGTGTGATTGCCTGATTCCCAATAATCCAGTTACCAGTATCCTCCCAAGCACTTATTTGCAAATTCTGCCCCACCACTGAAATAAAGACATACCATAAGCTTCATAAGAATCTTGAACCTCCCCATGTCCATAGTCATAATATTCTGAGTCCCTGAAAGCCAAACACAGAATGTTAGAAAGCTACAGAAGAACTGTTTTAGTTTAACCTTCCTCCCCAATGCATGCATATCTTACCATTTTACTATGTGAATAATATAGGAAAATGCTTACTTTGCCCCATCCCCAAACCACAAAATATTTCCAAAACACATATACACTATATATCCATAAAAAAATTATAAACATGTATACACTATGTACTCATTAACTATAGCAAAGAAAAATGGGTATCACACAATCTAAAAAGCACAATCCAAAGCTGACCATATTAATCAGTTTACACAGACATGTATTAATATGGCTCAATACTCGAAGAGAATAAACAGACATGAAAAGAACTGTTCTGTCCCCACTGTAAAATTATGAGACTTTTTTTCAATTAATCTCAGCTCCAACCGAAACCAAACCCACTGCCACTGAGCTGATTCTGACTCACAGCGACCCGATGGGTTTCCAAGGCTGTAAATCTCTACAGAAGCAGACTGCCACATCTTTCTCCTGCAGAGCCGCTGGTGGTTTCGAACCGTAGACCTTTCAGTTAGTAGTCTATCACTTTAACCAGTGAGCCACGAGGGCTCTTTAATCTCAGATAACTGATATATATTCACACACATACACACAAAATGTTTTTAAGAGAATATGCAGAAAACAAAACACTTAATTTCTGGTAATGAGATTCGAGTTTCCTTTTAGAATTTTATGCAACTTAAATGTGGCTATGATATTTTAAAATAATAAATCAAAATAATTTAAAGGCTTCTTCCTTTGTTTCCATGCAGTCACATATCAGGAATTTTTCATCTGCTATTTCCAGATTCTAAGCTATTATTTAAGATTCAAAGTTACTCAAACTTGCAGATTCAAGCGTGAGCCTCACCGATGTCAAAAGCACAGAAGACGCCCTCAAAAGGTAAGCTCCTGAGATTTATGCTGCTTCAGTCTCTCAGTTTCTCAAACACCCTTCCCATCCTTCACTAGGACACAAAATAGCACTTTCATTGCCTGACTCACCCTTGGCTCTGGCTGTAGTAGCCTTCGTAGCCTTCATAACTCTGTTCTGCGTATGTATCATCATATCCCTAGAATAAAATGAAATAGAAACTTAGAATCACAGAGAGTAGAGAAGCCAACTGCATCTCATGGAGGTATGGCAGGTTTCTGGATTAACAGAAAAGAACCTTTCCCTCCAAAATGTTTTTAACACCCATTATGGAATAGTTGAGGGAGACAGGGTTACTTAAAACAAAAAACTTTCATATGATATGCCACAGGACAAGTATGGGTAGGAAGTAAAATACAATATTGAACTTTAGTATTATCAGTAGAAGTTGTGGGAAACTCCTTAATAAAACACTGTACATAATGGCACACAGTTTATTTTCTGTTTCATCTACGTACAAATAGTAAAATAGTAAACCATGCCTAAGAAGGAAAAACCTTTTCATAGTTCAAGGTTAACTGCTAGAGAGACGGGGCAAATTCCAAATCTTACAAGCAGTTCCTGTCACCTACATCAAGGGCCAAGGCCCTGTCATTCAACTTCCTTTGGCAGTCTTCTAGGTATTGGGAAATGGCACAACATTCAAATTTCTTACATATTCTTCATATGTTTCTGGTGCAGGGGGTGGAGGCAGAGGTATTCTCTGGATGCCTGCTGTCCGTGCTCTTGGTGTTGGAGCACCCCTCACAGTAGGTGGGGGTGGCACTCCTCGAGTCACAGTGGTACCTCTGGTGATGGTTCCTCTCACGGGTGTACCACGCACCAAAGCCCCCCGAGGTGGTCCAACACCTCGGCCCCTGCAAAAAGAAATTTTAAGTGGAGCTTTTTATATATAGGCTACTTTCAAGTTCAGATTTATTTGTAAATTCTGACGAAGTCTTAACTAGACTGTTATTAAAGCATAGAGGAATACACAGGTGGGTAAAAGACCCACACTGAAGACCTCTCAGGTCCCATACTGGACCTGTGAATGTCTCATTATCAGTGTGCTGCCTTGGGCAGGTCTGGAGTGTCAACACTCCATAAAGATCAATCACAAAAGGTAAAATTCTGAAGTCAGAGACCATTAAAAAAATGCTAGGACTGCCCAAAATTAAGATCAAAATTTTCAGCAGGACTACAGCACTTGACTGTGGCCAAGGTACTCAACATCTAAAATTCCACTCAATGCAACATACAAATCCTGAGACCTCTCCTAAGCCATGGATAAAACCACCACCTAGAGAGATGGTACTAGCAGGCAAATTTACATGCCATTTCTGGTTATTTCCATTATTTTTACCTGGGAACAGGTGGAGGAGGAGGCGCAGCTCCTCGGCCTCTCGCTGGCACCCCACGTCCACGAGTAGGCTCAGGTACTCCATTCAAGTAGGACAGTTCTAGAAACTGCTCCTGGCAGATATCATCCATCATATCCTGGGAATGAAAAATAACAAGGAGTGCTGTGAAACATATCCACTTTCTGCTAAGAAGTTATCTGGCCCACATAAGCCTCAGACACTAAAAACAGCTTTCAAAGCCCAGATGAAGTCTCAGGCCATTCATTCCCTGATGAAGTCAAATGGCACCCTACCTGTTTGTCACCTTTTTGAGGAAAGTCTTGATGGTAGACCCCTTATTATTCAGATGAAGCTCTTCATGATGTGGTCCCTGCCTAGCTCTCCAGATCACTTCCCTATTCTCTCCATATATAACCTCCTCTCAAGCCATGCTGAACAACTTGTAGTCCAGAGCCTGGCATACTCTCACACATCCATTCTTTGAAAATAGTTTCCTCATCCTGGAATAATAAAAGTCACTATCATAAACTGAGCTCCCCGTGCTAGGCACTACATAATAAGCTTTACATAGATTTTTTAATCTTTAAAATAACCCTGAAATAAGCAGATAACCCCATTTACAGTTAGGAAAACAGATTCAGGGGTATAAAGCAACCAGTAAAAGAATATACAGTCATTAAGTGGCAGACTCTAGATGTAAATTCAGAATTATCTGTCTCCAAAATCTAGACTTCGAATCATCAGGCTATACTGCCTTTTTTGTCCACCTGAGGGACTCTTAACTTTTCCTTACAAGGCTTACCTAAAATATTACCTGTTTTGAAAAACTTTATCTTGATGCTACCCTTCTCTTCTCCCATAGCACCCTGTAATATTCTCTACTCAACCCCTTACCACATCATTATTTTAGAATTGTGTCTTCCTCACTAGATTATGAGCTCTTCAGGAGTCATCTTTGTGAATTCAGACCTAAGCTTAGTATTAGGTATAGAGTAGATGCTTAACAAATGTTTGGGATGAAGAAGGAACTTCAGGCTAAGAAAGGTGAAATAACTTGTCCAAGATGACCCAGATATAGTTCCTAGTCCAGTGCTCTTCCTATCGTACCATGAAGCCTGTTACTGTTAATGGTTCTAAGAGGAAAACAGAGGGCTCTGGTCAGAGATGCAAAAATAGGTTCACTTTTTTCTCTTCGTAAGAGGGCAGAATTGGCCTCTAGACAGATGAGTCAAAAGCCATTTGCAAATCTTTCCATGCATTTCCTGATCAGAGATATTCAGTCTTACTACTTCATAAATTTTCACAGCTTCAGGAATAGAAGATTCTAATTATTACAGATAGATCTTGGCTGAAAGCAGAGAATACCAGAAAGATGTTTACCTGTGTTTTATTGACTATGCAAAGGCATTCGACTGTGTAGATCATAAAAAATTATGAATAACACTACGAATAACAGGAATTCCAGAACACTTAATTGTGCTCATGCGGAACCTGTACGTAGACCAAGAGGCAGTCGTTTGAACAGAACAAGGGGATACTGCGTGGTTTAAAAACAGGAAAAGTGTGCATCAGGGTTGCACACTTTTACCATACTTATTCAATCTGTATGCTGAGCAAATAATCCGAGAAGATGGACTATGTGAAGAACGCAACACCAGGACTGGAGGAAGACTCATTAACAACCTGCGATACGCAGATGACACAACCGTGCTCGCTGTAAGCGAAGAGGACTTGAAGCACTTACTGATAAAGATCAAAGACTACAGCCCTCAGCATGGATTACACCTCAACATAAAGAAAACAAAAATCCTCACAACTGGACCAATAAGCAACATTTTGATAAATGGAGAAAAGATTGAAGGACTTCATTTTAACTTGGATCCACAATCAACACCCATGGAATCAGCAGTCAAGAAATCAAACAACGTATCGCACTGGGCAAATCTGCTGCAAAAGACCTCTTTAAAGTTTTAAAAAGCAAAAATGTCACTTTGAGGTGACATGGAGGCCCCATGGACACATCCAAACTCCCCGAGGGACTGAGTTGCTGGACGGAGGGCTCTGGGGACCATGGTCT